GGCTAATCTACTGTATCCCCTAAAATCACTGGCAGATGGCATGTCAGATCTTTTTAAATACCTACAGGTGAAGAAGACACCCACCCGCTCCTGAGACAGTCAGTTCCACTGTTAATCTACTCCTACCATGAGGATGTTTCCCCTAATGTTTAGCTGAAATCAGCTTCCTTGCACTTTCTTCCCATTGGTTTTCGTCCCAATGACTGGAGCAACAGAAAATGAGCCTGCTCCATCTTTGAGTGGGTCATCTTCATGTTTCATCACAACTCCAAACTACCGGTACATTTTATGCACACCGTTGCAATTTGTGTGCTGTTCAGATCAGGTGCTCACTGCAAGCAAACATAGTCATTGGTCTGCAGCTAGGTCTGTGAATGGCAATTTTGCCATGATAGCTAAATGGAACCAGCATGTACAGAGGCAGCATACCTGAATGTCAGGCACTGGGGGAGAGGCAACAGGTTGCCACTATCAAACCCCAGCCATGCTTGGCAGCATCTGGCTGACAACTGTTGGAAAAGGGATGTGGGACTAGATGGTCCTGTGTTCTGACCCCACAGGGTTGTTTTATGGCCTTGGGGTCTAGCTACATGTCATGTTAATGGTGTGATTAGCAATCCTGACAAAGGTGTTAAAAAGAATACATTAAAATAATAAAATTAAATGATGTGGTGATCATGATCGTGTCATGATGAGTTTTAAAAAAATTAAATAGTGGGGTGGTGGATGGGTGGGAACGTGATCGGCATTGCAGTGCATGAGGAAGGGAAATTTGAGTCTCTTCGTAAAAATCATCCCCCGCTCCTTACATAGCAATTAGCATTGGGGGGGGGGGGCTCCCATTGGTGCCAATTAACTCCAATAACAAACTCCAAATTCACTTCTGCAACCAAATACTAATTTTTGTGGGGTAGGGTTAGCCACAGTGGGGGGAGGTAGCAAGGGAAAGGGGGTGCTTATATTAATGCATGAATTGTTCCACTCACCCTCAAATGATCTGCACTTACTGTAAGAGGTTTTACCCTCCTATACAGCTGGTCTGCTATAGGTAGCTGCAAGTAAGAATGGGCTGCCAATTTGAGTTAAAGAGCCGTGTTTCCTCTCATCCTGCCCTCGTCTGAGAGCTGATCGAAGTTTGCTGCCCACCTCCAATTGCTCTGCAGAACCCAACAGGGTGCATAACTTTCTGCGGTTCACCATTGTCTGGATTGGAGCCAGGAAATGTAAGCTGTTTAACACACTAAACTGGGAGAACGTTGTGGCTTTGCAAGCAAGTTTGAGTTGGGAGTGTTTAAGAAGTTTCATTTCCCACAACAGCTTCACAGCTGTACGATACACACTCGCAGCATGAACCTCTCCTGAGTTCTTTGGGGTTGAACGAGGTTGCAAGTCTCATGGCAGTGAGTGGAGAACACAGCTCCAAGGGCAGTGGGCTGGTTGCCTTGGTTAGGTGTGGCTGAGATCTGTCCTCTCTGATTCATCAGGTCTCCTTCTATCTCCTGAGAGAAACTATAGATAACGACATGCCTGGATTATTCACCTTAAACTGGCCAAGCTGCTGAAATTCTGATCTCGTCAGTGAGAGCGTGGAATTTAACAAGGATGATTTTAAAAGGTCAAGCAACACATAGAAGAATCAAACACAGAGGTCCAAATTATTTAGGGGTGGGGCTGATTAGGCATTGACATTTCAGAGAGAAAAAATTAAGTGCCACACTAGGAAAAACCCTCTGCATGTGATCAGAGAAACTCTTTTTCATTGGCTCTTCTTCTAGTTCCAGTGCCAAGTTTTGTCTCAAACTTAGCCCTACACTTGCATCTGATCTGGATAGGGTTCCTGCATGGCTGTCATAAGGCTTCTTGGAACACAGTGTGGCTTCCTTGGATTGGACTTGGCAAAATAGAGTGAAAACCCAAACTGGGCAGCTGAGCACATAAGCACAGAATTAAATTCAGCAGGGAGCATGAGAGGGACTGAGGCATTTTCTCGCTTGCCATTAAAATAGTGGTGTGTATTTTTTGCCTCTGTAATATCATTTGAATACAAACATTATTTGGGCCAGGCTTCATGCCTGCTGGGCATAGTCCCATTTTAAGGCATGGTACTGGCTACAGCATTTGACAGGGGAAACGCAACTGCCCTGCAGGTGTCCTGTGGTTTGCTCAGGCAAGGCGAAAGCTCCCCATGGTAAATGTAGAGGTTCACAAACCATCTAGAAGAAGAAGAAGAGTTTGGACTTGATATCCCGCCTTTCACTCCCCTTAAGGAGTCTCAAAGTGGCTAACAATCTCCTTTCCCTTCCTCCCCCACAACAAACACTCTGTGAGGTGAGTGAGGCTGAGAGACTTCAGAGAAGCGTGACTAGCCCAAGGCCACCCAGCAGCTGCATGTGGAGGAGCAGGGAAGCGAACCCGGTTCACCAGATTACGAGTCCACCATTCTTAACCACTACACCACGCTGGCTCTCTCTACCTATTGGAGTTTTAAGCAGGAAGTGCCAGAAGAGCTGGCCTCAGGGATGTGCCAGTCAAGTGCTGCAGAAACATCACATTCTGATTCTTCCATGCATAAAATGCACGTTTTGTTTCAAAACAGCCTTCTTCTGCTTTTCATCCTGATTCAAAACCCATTTCTTCACACATGGGCACAAATAACTAGTGAAAGACTCAAAGATTCTTTTAGTGTCATGGGTGCAAATAACCTTGCACTAAGAAAAGGACAAATGGGTGGCGAATAACTGACAGGTGGCAGCAAACCATCAGAGCAAGGTTTAGGGTAGGGCTGGGGAAACCAGAGGCCCAGAAGCCTCATGCGGCCCTCCAAGCCTATCTGGCCTTTGGGACTGTCTCTGAGCTACACTGCTGCCAAGACCACAGATGTCACTGCCCATGTTCACTTGAACAGTAAAAAATGCTTCTTGCTTGCCTGGTTAGAGAATGAAGAGAACGGGGTGGTGTGAAATGAATGGAGACCTCTGACTTCTGTATGGCTAAAATGTAGATAGTTCATAGTTTTTCCTGGTAAGGGAGCTAATGGCTTATCTGTAAGGACAGATTCACCCTACAGTCCAGATTTCATTTATTGTCCAGATAATGCTCCATACTGTGATTTCAGATGGCTCACCATGCAAGGCAACCGTTTTTCAGATCTGTGGGTTCCTGGTTCTAGCCCCAGTACCTGCTGATACAAGACAGGTAGCTGAGCAGAAGATCTACTGCACCAGCAACATCTAAGCAGCATGTATAGAGTTTCATAGCTGGCCCTGTATCCAGCCAGCCATTTTTCTGGCTCATTCAAGGCCCCAATTCTGGGTATTGTTAGCTCAAGGGCATTTAGCAAGACAGGAACCCAGGATTCAGCAGGATTTGAAACGGGGACTCTTCCTTGGTAAGTATCCTGAGCTCTCTACCCACAGTGTACTGACTGATCCCGACCCCAACATGCAATGGGGCCTGCAATGGAATCCTGCTCTATAGATGAAACTCAGATCTATGCTGAGGTGCAACCTGGATCTCAGTGGTTCAGCATCCTCTTCTGACAATATCTTATTGGAGTGGGACTGCACATGCAGCAGAATGAAGTGGTAAGAATGCTGGTAGAGTGGGCCATACCATTTCAGACTCCAGGTGGAACATTCCCTTATGCAAAAAAACAACAACCCAATGCCATCAAGGAAAGGGGTACCTCCATAGCCCTGCCTCTTCCCTGCTCTGCTGGTGTCTATTTGCAGGGAGTTTTGTTTACAAGGGGTAGCATTAAAGAATGTCTCCCCTCACCTGCAGTCTGAAGTGGTACAGCCATTCTTCCACTTCAGTTATTTGATCCTGCAAGTTTTCTGAATCCATAACAGCCCAAGGCAGAACACAGCAGCAAATCACAGGGCTTGGCAGAGAGGGTGTGGGCAGTCAGCTAATTCATAAAGGGTTTGATTATCAGGCTTGCTATATTTTGGATGCGTGTGTCTGCCTCTTCCAACCAGCCAAAGTAAAATCTATCTAAAAGATTCCAAGGCTTGTCAATTTCCAGATAGTTGAAATATGAGCAGTGACTAGGTCAATTGTGGAATAAATGAAAATGTAATATATGTGCCGTTGAATTTCTTTGTGAAAATGAGTCGCTCGCTCAGTTTTAGCCCGTTTAACATAATTGCCCAATTTAGTTCATTAGCCCTGTTTCTACCTAATTGAGGTGGAACGGTATGGAGCTTTCTGAAGCGATTTAGACGCTGCTCCCTGCCCCCTAATTTCAGCAGAATTAGTCCAAGTGCTTATTAAAATGAGACAGTGGTAACGTCATGTCCAGAAGGCACTTTCCTGCAGCATTTGTGGGGCCAATCACCACTCCTTAGCAAGGGGTCTGTGGCTTTAATCAGAGACCTTATGGACTGAGGCTAGTGAGCTACTTGGGGCTGCATCAGCTCAGGCCTCCAAGCCCCCTTCAATGAACAGGGTGGGTGTGAGTGTGACTAGATTCAGATTACATGCCTAGATTCAGGGAGAGTGAGTCTAGCCCAACCACTTTCTTGACATGCTAGTTTTCTAAATGCAGGGCTCCCCCCCCATTTGGAAGCACCCCATCCACAGAGCCCCCACCTACAGTCTGAAATTGTACCATCCATTTCACAGGTTTACCTCATCAGCTGTTTCGAAACATCCAGACCTTGCACAGAACAATTTCCAATTGATGAATACATCCTGCTGCAACCCGCTTACAGCAAAGGGGAAATAAGGCAAAATCATTTGCTGCTGGGTGATTCACCCAGTTCTGTTAATTAAATGACTCATCCAATTCCCCTTGCTTTTATTGCCCCAATGGCTCATGCTTTGGACATGGGAGGTTAATACTAGCCCTAATCATCCAGGGGAAATAATAGATTTTGTAATGATGGCCGGCAACCTCGAGCAGCAGTTTTATGAAATGAAATGGTGTGCATGTGTATATGTTAGGAAGAGAGTGCTATTCAAAGGAACTCAAAAGACAGGAGAGTACACACACACACTGTCTTTTCAGTGGAAAATCTTTGTGGGGAGGAAGAAAAAGAGATTGTATCAATGACAAATTTTCTTGAAGACATCAAAGTGATCCTCCCACTTCTCTCCCCCACCTCCTTATCACATCAGGGGCTGCTTCTCCACTTCAACTTCAGTCCAGGGGCAGCTCATTCTGGCCAGCAAGCAAGCTACCTCCTCGCTACTTGCTGTTTTGCAGAAAACTAGGTGACTGAAAGATGAATTGCCAAAAGGTCCCAGTGGTCAGGGGGGCAGGTTGATACTGTCAAAGCAAGAAAGGGACATTCTCAGGAGCAGGGCCTGGTTGAGCTCTTCATCTCCACAAAGTCATGTTGGATGAAAGGCAGTGTTCAGAACTTGATATAGGCCACAGAATATGAAGGTAAGCCAATTTTGTTAAAAGTAGAATTCAAGACAATTTCTTTTTTTCCCCTCTTTTTTTTCAAGACAATTTCAGCCTGCCTTCTCTCTCTCGCTTTTCCTCTGTGGGCAAAAAAATATGTCCAGCCTTAACTTGGGGGGGGGGGGACTGGAGACTTCAAAAGCGTTTATTGCACAGCCTGAATACATATTTTGCCTGGTGAAGAATTATATGGAACTGTAAGGGAGTGGGTCTACCTCTGCTGCACTGGAACCTGGAATACAAAGGGAGTGATGCTTCAGCAAAGAAAAAAGCAAAAAGCTAATGCTATTCTAGACTGCATCAACGGAAGTTTAATGTCCAGATGAAGGGAAGAAATAGTCCCGCTCTACTCTGCCTTGGTCAGACCACACCTGGAATAATGTATCCAGTTCTGGGTGCCACAATTTAAGAAGGATATTGACAAGTATGAACGTGTGCAGAGAAATGCAACCAAGATGATCAAGGGTCTGGAAAACAAAGCCTTATGAGGAATGGTTGAGGGAGTTATGATAGCCATTTTCAAATATCTACAGGCCTGTCACATGGAGGATGGGCAAGCTTGTTTCTTCCTGCTCTAGAGGGTAGGACCAGAACCAATGCATTCAAGTCACAAGACAGTAGATTCCAACTAAACATCAAGAAGAAGTTTCTGACAGTAAGCGTTATTTGACAGTGGAATGGTCTCCCTTGGAAGGTGGCTGACTCTTATTCCTTGGAGGCTTTTAAGTGGAGGTTGGATGATCATCTGTCATGTATGCTTTAGTTGAGATTCCTGCAGTGCATCAGGACTCGCCAAGTGGGTGGCTCGGTTCGGGGGCGGCTCGTGGGCCATTTAAATGACCCCCATCAGCCGCTTGTGGCCCATGAGACACAGGTTGCCGACCCCTGGACTAGATTATCCTTGGGGTCCCTTCCAACTTCGCAGTTCTATGATTCTAAGGTGTCAGGAAAGGGCCTTTACTCAGGGCCTGTAGCAGGCAACCTTCAGGCCCCTTATCTCCTGCATCAGTGGTACTCCAGACAGACAGACAGGTTTCCAAAGGTCAATGGTGCATTCTAGTTCTGAGTGCTGTCAGCTGCTCAATAGAGAGACACAAAGACCTTAAAGAAACCCTCTTTCTCTGAGGCTAATCTAAACAACTGACCTATTATGTAACAATACAGGCTCTGGCTGCATTCACTCGGGAGTTTATTCCATTTTCCTGATGTTTCCCTAACTGTTAATTTCTGAATTACACCTGAGCTTTCGCACAACATAAAACCCGCTTCAGATAAACTAATGGAATGCTGTGCATATTTAGTGCTCATTTCTGTGTTATTTGATTCCAGAAAAAAAAACTGTCTACAGCCTCCATAACCCCAAAAAATGGTAGTGTAAAGTGATAAATTTTGGGATGAAATATCAGCATCCAGTTCTTTCCTGCTGCTTTCATGGGGGAACAGAAGCACACATTTTTGGAAGGGGTGGGGGAGTAGCAATGTTGTCCAATGACATCTGCTGTTGTGTCATGCCCATGCCCATAGCTGTGAATGAAATTTAGCATGTCATGGCAGTATATTGATCAGAAAGCCACAGTTCCATAATGTTTCAGGTTAGTAAATAGGACAGATGAGCTAGCATTATAACAAACTAACACAATATTCCCCACGTCTGAATGTACTCTGCCTTTTCTTATCCCGAGACCCACCGCATCTATCCTGTCTGATATTTGCCCTCTAACTTGTCTGTGACTGTATGTCCTGCTTCTGATTCTGTTTCCCTGATCTGATACCTAATCTCCAGCTTGTACATGACCCAAGCCTCCTGTCACTGGACCCCAAACCAGAGGCTACAGTATCACCAGGTGAGGTGCCAAATCAGATTCCCAGCTCTGAGTCTGATGCTGGTTTTTCAGGGTCCTCTGAGCCCAAGGCTGACAGGTGAGAGCCCACTGAATTAGACCCTCCAGCACCAGTGTTTGAAATGAATATTGTAGGCTGTCTTTTAAACCACTGGTGTATCTTTTCCTCTAGTAAGTGGAATATAAACTTTGCTAAATAAATAAAATAAAAAATTAAGGGGAGGCAGTGTGGTGAAAAAGAAGACCTTCTTTTTCACCACACTGCCTCCCCTCTCTTCCATAAATTCCTTTGGGGGGCTCCCTGTCCACCCCCACAGCCTGCACAAACTTCTTGCCCTTGCTTTCCCTTCCTGAAACCTTCTCTAGTCCAGTTCCACCACTGTGGCCATCCAATGTACCCTTGCTACCTGAAGCGACTCTGCCCATTTCCCTTTGCTTCTCCTCATACATGAAATTCTCTCCAATCATACTTCTGTGCGACCACCTTCCTCATCGCCTTTCCTTTCCACAAAAGTTGAAAAAAATATTGTGATCATCCCTTATTAGTGCAGCTCCTATCACTTCTTGGAAAACAATTCGTATAGCAATTTTTGAAATCTGAATTCAAAATTTCAAATTTTAAAATTTATATTTTAAAAATTCCACATCCCAAACGGCTAAATTTCAAATCTAAAACCACCCAACGCCCGTGAGCAGGAATGTTTGCTAAAAATTGGAGAGAATGTTACTTTAATTGGAATGTTTTGCCCAAGAATATTGAATTTGCTGGCAAAACTCCCCCTCTCTTAAATTTAATCACTGCAGTGATTTGCGCCAAGGCAAACCTCTCTCCTTCCTGGGCTCTGCACTCACAGCACGGTGCCACGCGATAGATAAGCATGTTGCATATCCCGTTTGCCTGGCTTTTAATTAAGCTGTCAGGCTGAAACAGAAATATCTCCTGGGAGGTGAGCAAGCGCTTCATGGCCATTTAATTTTTGTTTAGGATTTAAAACTCAAGCCTGTCCTGGTTGAAATTAACAAGAAGATTCCTGCTCACTGTCACTCTCAGTGATGAGATACTAATCACACGCCTTAATGAGAATGAAGAGTGTGGGGAGGCAGGAGGAAGAGAGAGAATCAAAGAGCTACATTTCACAGTATGATGTGGTTTCATTTAATTTCTTAGAGTTGTGAGGTTGTGGCAGGACTTGGCACCAAACTAGCAACACTCCGCTTGAAGATGTGTTCTGTGTTGGGCTTAATCTGGGGCAACTTTACCACTGAAACCCTGTTTCAGTGATGGAGCTCAGCCCTGAAACCTGAGGGTTTTTCATCAGGGTGACTGCTGTTTGGAGCATGTGCATAATTTAATATGATTCCAGGGCCCATCACTGCTCAACTTATGAACGCTGTTTTAATGCATTAATTGAAATGTGTGTAATAATAATAATAATAATAATAATAATAATAAATGTGTTGAGAGCAGCTCCTTTCCACTTAGGGAATCATGGAGGATGGTCACATCCACATCATACATTTGAAGATAAAAAAGGAAGACTGAATCTACTGAAGTGGCATTTCAACAGTTAAAACCTGGGCAGAAGACTGAGCAGAAACACAGCAAGACATCTGATCACAGCCTCCCATGCCATGGCAAGATATACTGCATTTCAATTTAAATTGTTGCAACTACTTCTAAATTTGCATCTATACATATATAAGCTTGGATATGCAAATCTTATGCAGATCTGTATCCTCTGTTCTTTTGGGGGGGTGGCAAAAAGGTTAAGTGGCCACCCTACCACCTTCTCTTGCTTTCCCTGCTAGTTATTATTAAAGCATCAAGCTTGCTGCAGTTTTTGTTATCAGTGTCCTGCAGGTTACATGACGCATTGACAGGCTACAAATTGATGAGTCGACAAATGGGAGTGAGGAGATCATACACCACAAGGACACAAATCATGACATGAGAAGTTTACTCCCTTCTTCCCTGCAACTTCACTTCATGAGCACATGGGCTGAGGGATTTATCTGAGGAAAAAATGTCTGCCAAACACTAGAATTCTGGGAAAGATTATGTTACTCGCAAATATGTGTTTAAAAGCCCTAATTTGTCTGTTTATTAAATGAAAAGCAGTCTCTGGGGAAGCCAGCAACCCGTTTACTGAGCATTCATCCTGATTTGTGTACAGGGAGGTGAGACAGCACCAGCTATTTATTGCACATTTGTCATGATTTGGTTGTGGGGAGGTTAGATTACGTGGCATTGAGCAAGTGTTATCCCACACTTTCCATAGCATTTTTCATCACTTTCCTTATCACAAAAAGTCTGGTCTTTGGGGGAAGTAGCCCTGTTGCACTCCCAAACAATGCAATTGTGCAACTGGAATTTGCCTATAAGACCTCATCCACACTTCTGTTTGCCCTGCAGCTTTCCTCTGGGAAAACCCATGAATTGGTGACGAAGCAGAATAAATGGCAACTGGGTTTTCTGCAGATTGCCATTTGTTCCAATTTAGTGCTAAATAGAGGGTTTTCCAAGGGAAAGCAGTGGTGCAAAGGCAAAACTGCTAGGACATGTGCCTGGGAAGCATGGGATAAGTAGAGGTGTGGATGTGCTCTTACAGGCAAATTCAGGTTGCATAATTATAATTGTTTGGGAGTGAAATAAATCTACTTCCTCAAAACACTGGACTTTTTGTGATAAGGAAAGTAATGGAAAATGACCAAATCCCACTCAAAAGTGTCCTATGACTGTGAATGAAGAATTATTGGGGGTGGGGGGTAGGGAGGTGATATTTAACTTTTCCCCTACCACAATTTACTTAATTGCCTTATTTCTGATGGGTGAGAAGACTGTGGGGAGTGGAGAAGATTCCTTTTTTTAGGTATCACAAGGCCCAGAATACTACTAGTGCATTCCTTTCCCCCTCTGTCTAGATCTTGGCAGCTCAAAGCCTGAGTTCTGATTGAATAACTGCATCTTTTTGTTTACATGGCCAATTAGGGCCAAATTAATGAAGCATCAAGTAGGAAGAATACAACTTGCTCTCTCGCTGTAGTAGCAGCTCAGTACGCACAGACTGCATATTTCTTTGGATTTTAGCCCCATTAAAAGTCAGTGGGACTTGCTTCAAGTAAACATGCTTACGACTGAGATGTTAGTTGAGTGTCTATCTGAACTGGGCTCAGGTAAGTCACAAACTCCATGCCTCTCCTAGGAAGCCCCAATGTAGTCATGAAATGGCCATCTCTGAATATACACAACCACAAAGCCCAACCAGGTGCCCTCCAGCAGAGGTGGATTTAGGGGAGTGTGGCTGCCTCAGTCGCACTGGGCACAGAGCCGAAGGAGTACCAAAGGGGGCACTATAACTATGATGTAGAATGGAAGGCGAGAGGCAGGGAGTGCCAGATTTTGGTGTTGCATAGGGCACTGCTGAAATCTGAGACCCCAAGGTCCGCCACCACATCCAGATCTTGCTGGATTACAACTCCGATCATCCCTGACCATTGGTTGGAGAGTTGGCACAGTTTGGGGCTGAGCAGGGATGCGGGTGGCACTGAGGGTTAAACCACAGAGCCTAGGACTTGCCAATCAGAAGATTGGCAGTTCGAATCCCCGCGACGGGGTGAGCTCCCATTGCTCGGTCCCTGCTCCTGCCAACCTAGCAGTTCGAAAGCACATCAAAGTGCAAGTAGATAAATAGGTACCGCTCCAGCGGGAAGGTAAACGGAGTTTCTGTGCACTGCTCTGGTTCGCCAGAAGCGGCTTAGTCATGCTGGCCACATGACCCGGAAGCTGTACGCCAGCTCCCTCGGCCAATAAAGCGAGATGAGCGCCGCAACCTCAGAGTCGGTCACGACTGGACCTAATGGTCAGGGGTCCCTTTACCTTTACCTTTAGGGTTTTTTGGAAGTTAGTGGGTGGCCCTCCTTGAGCACACTCACCTCCTCTTCCCTGCCACTGTTACCACTCTCCATTCTCTTTCTCCTTCTCTGGGTGCAATCCGCACTGCCTCTCAGATAAATGGAGAGAGAACAAGGCATGCAGAAGTTATTGCTGCTCTCCCCACTCACTGCTTGCTCACGCAGAGAAGCCAGGTGAACAGGCAATAATACTGACAGGAGGAGGAGCAACAATAGGGAAAAAGGCTCCACGGATTGGCAGAGCCCTTGGCCCCATAATGGGGTTTGGTCCTAGGCAGCTGACAATGATGCCAACCTCTGACACCAGCCCCAGTTTAAAGGCCAAGGCGGGGGAATCTCTGAAAGAGTCTGAACTCCCTGCTAGCTGCCTTTTGGAACTTCTGATGTGAATTCAATACCTGACAGTTGGCAAAGAAGTGCCTGCAAATCCAATGCATCTGGCTTTGTGTGTTCTGCGGGCTTTTCATGCCTCCTTCCGATTAAGTTCCCCGTTAATCTACTGAGCCATTATTATGTTCAGAAAAGAAAAGCACAATTAAGGTGGTTTAAACAATGCAAACGAAAGGGGGGAGAGATCCCCCAGCCCTTGCAGCAGGGAAGTGAGGCAAAATGCCTAGGGTGATGCCACAATGGCAAGCCATGACATATACCGCATTTAATTAATGCCTTTAAACAGGTGTGTATGGGAACTGTAGCTGGAGGATTCTGGAGCCCAGAACAGCTGGAATTAAATGGGAAAAGGAGAAGGAGAAGGAGAAGGAGAAGGAGGAGAAGGAGAAGGAGAAGGAGAAGGAGAAGGAGAAGGAGAAGAAGGAGAAGGAGAGGAGAAGGAGAAGGAGAAGGAGAAGGAGAAGGAGAAGGAGAAGGAGTCATCAAGGGAGATTCTCCCAGCTTAGATTTCCTTCCGAAAGCTCTCCTAAATCAGATTTTTGCTTTGTATTTTTACCCCCAACTATCTCAGTTCTGGGTGCTGTTCTGTGATTTGGGGCTTTAGGACACAACCCTATATCTAAGAGGCCTCAGCTTTGAGGTAAAGACTTGCTGTATTGGGGTTTCTGCTAGGGTGTAGTGGAAGCCTCGCTACACCAGCAGAACCTGAGATGCAACAGCATTGAAACAAGGCAGGAGGAACCCTCCACTGATGAAGATATGTCAGCACTGCAGGACAGCCAGAATGGAGTGGACTCACGGAATGGTAGCGGAGAAGAGCAGCATAGTTATGTCACATGCCCTGTATTCCCCTGTTGATGGTGGAATTTGACAACAGCCCCAGAGTTGAAATGAGACTTTTTCATCTCAGCAAGCTCGTTGAGAGGGAGAAAATATTAAGACAGCGGCCCTCTTGTTGACAGCTACCCAGTCCAAGCCACCATGACAAAGCATACATCATGGTGGAACTCAATATCCATTCATAGCAATATTAAACAATACTAGTAATAATAACAACTATCATTATTAAATTTATATACTTCTTACATGCCAAAATGCCTTCTAAGCAGTTTACAAGTCTAATCACAGCACATCACCAAACCCCACAAAGTGAGACTCACAGGGCATGTGGCTTATGGGACTTTGCCCTCAGGGTCTACACACAAAGGAGGAACTTTGATGGTGGGAAATAGAGAGGAAAGACCCATTTCTTCTCCCCCAAGCCGTCCTCCATTTCAGGGTGGCCATTTGTTTTCCCCGCTATGACGAGATATACTGTATTTTTATGTGAATTCTAGAAATTATTTGTACGCCTCTATTTATACATATAAAATGCAGATTTCATTCATATCTTCTCAACTTTTGGGGTGCTGCATTTCTTCTTCTTCTTCTTTTGGTGATGTGCAAGTGTCCCCCTGACATTTACATAGTCTTAATCTGACCCAGGGGTGAATAAACTTGGGGCTTGGGGCATCAAATTTGTTTACTGGAAGTCCTTGTCACCTAGAGCAGCCTTCCCTAACCTGGTGCCCTCCAGATGTTTTGGATTGCAAGACCCATCATCCCTGACCATTGCCCATTGCCCATGCTGGGTGGGGCTCTTGCGAGTTGGAGTTCAAAACACTGGGAGGGCACCAGGTATGGAAAGGCTGACCTCAATACACGTGCAAAATAAAATTAATTGGTTGATGGCAGATAAAATTAAGGCACACGGTGTCTCAGAACATACACACCACTCTGGAATCTGATTTCAGTCCCAGAACAAGTTCATTTTCCTTTCACATGAAGATCTATGCCTGGTTTACCTCCAAGCTTCCTTTCTTCAGCTGTCTAATTTAGGGAGTAAAAACCTCCTTCATTGTCACAACTCTTAAACAACTGAAAGTCAGAAAAGTTTGTTGATGTACTGCGTATTACCCAGATCCTTAGACCAAGATCTACCTCACCTCTCCCCGCCACAGCATCCCTGGCAGCTCTCTTTTCCAGCATTCTGGACCAGCCTGTTCCGTTAGGGCAAATGAAGCGCTGCCCCATCAACCTCCGTCTGCCCACAGTCAGCCCTCACTTGCCTGCCTTTCTAATTAACAACCAGTCCAGGTGGACTGATCCTGCTTGTCAGCTTCCCCCTCTGCTTTAGTCTCAGTGTTGCCCTTTGAGAACTCAGCAAGGAAGAGAACAGGGACAAAACCAGAATGAGCTGGTTCTGCCTGCCATTGGCTCTGGCTCTACCTGATGTTGAAGTCCCTGCCTTCTGCCCCACCAGTCTCAGTGAGCACCAGACCCCACTGATCTGGAGTCTGGAAGGTCCCTGGAGTACCTGACCCCACTGCAGGCAATTAGGCATTGAGTTTATATAGTCTGCATAACTTACTTTGTTGTTTGAAAGATTTGCAAGCAGCTTTTTTTTTAAGTGGTTGGTGGAACCAGTAGCCCTCCAGCTGTAGTTGGACTACCTCTCCCACCATCCCTGACTACTGACCATGATAGGTGGGGCAGATGAGACCTGGAGTGCAACAACATCTGAAGGGCGGTAAGCTCTCCATTCCGCTTGTTAAAAGTAACCTTATGCTGAGTCAGACACAATGATTTATCTTGGCTACTCCTGTCAACAGGCCTTGCTACTCAAACCTCAGCAGTGGAACGGCTTGAAGGTGAAAGCTGTCCTCACCACACCACCCGCACTGAAGCATGCCAGGTGTTTTAATTCATTAAACTCTAAGGAAGTCCAGGACAAAACATGCATGGAAGAGTCTGCATCATTAGCAGCGAAAGAAGAGCTTCGCTCAGGGTGTTTTATCTCCCTGGCGAAACACTCTGAGACTGGGCTAATGAGGCAGTGACATGCCGACAGAGCGATGGGAAAGGTGACATGCAGAGAGCCAGGGAGATAAAACAGGTCAGCAGAAGACAGGGAAGGACCACAAGTTCATCTGACGCACACTCCCTGCCCAGAAGCAAGACCACCCACCCGCTACTGATCTCCCTTCACAGATTAAGCTGTATTGATAATCCAATTACCCAAAATGCCACAGGCACTGAGTGGGTGTATTGAAAAAAAGGTGTGGTGTTTGGAGAGAGAGAGAGAGAGAGAGATGGATGGATTCCTCCCTCCAAGTTTTGAAAAAGTTTGGATGTCAAGGGCTATTCACGCAAGAAGTGGCAAAACTTTCCATCCCTCTAGGCCAGGGACAGGGAACCTGATGCCCGACAGAGGTTGCCAGACTCTAATTCCCACCAACCTCAAACAGCATGGCTAATGGTCCAGGATGGTGGCCGTTGTAGTCCAATAACACCTGGAAGGCCACAGGTTCTGCACCACGGCTCTAGACAGTGGTAGTCACAGAATCTCATTCAGGGTGCCTTCCCTGCAGGTTGCTTTCCCATCAAGGCTTATTTCTTGGTGGTCAAACAGTCAGTTATTTATTATATTATTGAAATTTGTATCTCTGCGTGAATTTTGTATTTCTATATGTGTTGAATTGTGGTAGCCTGCTGCTCTAAGCAATAAAGATTTGGCTGGCCCTCCACAGTGAATCAAGCCCCGCCCTTAGCAAACAAAATAAGAGCATTACAAAGAGCACAGTGGATCAGCCTCTCTCTCTATATTCATCCTCCTCTGTTGGTCTTGGAAACCTGCCTGGAAGGAAGGGGCGGGGGGAGAGACAACCCCAAACATTTCTACCATGTAAGCTGAGGCTGCAAACCTGGTAACATCCACTGGATTGAGGTGTCATGGTATAAAACTTAATCTACCAACAAGAAACGTAGTCTACCATAAAAGCAACAGCGCCGGTGGCAGATATACAAAACCACGGGCGCCCCGTGGGATGATTTAATGTTCTACAAACAAGGAAGCGGCAAGCCTGTGCTCTGCCACAATGCGCGGGGTGACAAGGGCCATGATTACACTGCAGCCAGCCAGGCGGAGAAACACACAAAATGCACGTCCAACTGCAACAAGCAAGGCCCCTTGTTTTCTAAAGAGCTAAATGCAGTTCTTGGAACTAATACGAGGAGGTTGTGTTTCTGATGTGGGGGCTATGAGGACGCAGGAAGGAAATCCAGCACTAGGCTGGATTCGCTGAACCCAGTGCAAAATTGTACCGTGATGACTACCCAATATCTCAACCAATATTTCCATGTTTCTCAATATATTTTCTTAAGGCCAGAACATTTTTCCTTAAAGTGGGGGACATTTTTCAGTGCAAGGGCCTCACTCTCTTGTGAGCAGTCTTCTGGGGGGGGGCGTATGTGTGCATGCCAGTGGTGGGTGGAGCCAAGGACCACATTCACACCATACATTTAAAGAGCAGATACCACTTTAAGCAGCCATGGCTTCCTCCAAAGGGTTCTGGGAGCTGTAGCTTGTTAAAGGTTATGAGAGTTGTTAGGAGACACAAACCCCTTTCCCCCTCCCAGAACTGCAGTTCTCAATCCCTTGTCATAGGGAACTCTGGGAATTGTAGCTCTGGGAGGGGAACAGAGGGTCTCCTGAGCTCCTTGGGGGAAACAATAGAAAATATGTACTGTTTCAGCACAAGGAAGTTGCACAGAATTCCCCATTCATGACATATTTACTTCCACTTGGTAAAACTAGGGCAGGGTGTGATTTTTTATTAAGACTAGTAAATTATTTCTATTATTGTTATTACCACTATGTTCTGGTAAAAAGCCCTCCCAGGGAAGCTTGCATAAGAATGTAACAGGAATACACAGAAAGAGTCTGCCTAATGGTCCATTCAGCTCAATATTGTCTACACTGATTGGCAGCAGCTTCCCAGGGTTTCAGGCAGGGAGCATTCCCAACCCAACCTGGAGATGCCAGGGATTGATCAAACCAGGGACCCTCTGCATGCAAAGCAAATGCTCTACCACTGAGCTACAATCCTTAGGTATCACCAGACTATAAAAATACAATATCAGTAACATGCTGTCACTTAGGACAGTAGTTAGAAAGATCTCAAAGTTCACCACCAAACAGTCCACAAAATTTCCATAAGGGTGGTCATGCTAGCTTGCTTCAACAAAAATAAGGCTCCTTAAAGGTAAATGCTACAATCCTGCACATTTTTGCCTAGGAGCAAATGCTGCTGAACTTGGGAGCTTACTTCTGAGCAGACATACATAGGATTGCACTGTAACAAATTTATTATGGCATAATATTTTTTGTGGACAATATCTGACCACCATCTAACGGCTAAGAGAGCTGGGCATGTTTAGCCTGGAGAAGAGGAGGTTAAGGGGTGATATGATAGCCATGTTCAAATATATAAAAGGATGTCACATAGAGGAGGGAGAAAGGTTGTTTTCTGCTGCTCCAGAGAAGCAGACACGGAGCAATGGATCCAAACTACAAGAAAGAAGATTCCACCTAAACATTAGGAAGAACTTCCTGACAGTAAGAGCTGTTCGACAGTGGAATTTGCTGCCAAGGAGTGTGGTGGAGTCTCCTTCTTTGGAGGTCTTTAAGCAGAGGCTTGACAACCATATGTCAGGAGTGCTCTGATGGTGTTCCTGCTTGGCAGGGGGTTGGACTCGATGGCCCTTGTGGTCTCTTCCAACTCTATGATTCTATGATTCTATGATTCTATGATTCACATGTATTGCCCACTTACATTTGATTACATGGATTGCGGTCCACAAATGTGGATGCCATAATAAACTGCAGTCCATAAAATATCTCTGTGTGGCCATCTTTTACCCAGAGGATGAGACTGAATGAAAGGAGAACTTATTTATGATGAGGAGAGCTGCCGTGGTTTATATGAAATAGAAACTGCATTTATGAGCGAAATACCAATATTGATGTTTCCAGAGACATTTCTAAAGTGCGAGAGATTAACGCCTTCTAGATCAATAGGAATATATGCAGCGTCGGGGCTTTGCTCTGTCGAGTTGTGGTGTGTGGATTTGAAAGCAAACAGGAAAGGTGGCCAGACATATTTGCCCTCGTTTCTCCTACCTCCCACTTCCAGAACAGATAAAAAGTTTAGCCATGTTGCCCCTGCAAAGCATACCCTCAGCCACATTCTCTCTCATCATCTACACAGACGAAGCTCTATAGCAGACACATTTGTGGAATAGGCTGCATATCCACCATACTTTTAAAGCACAGCCTCAAAGAATCCAAGGAATTGTAGTTTGTTAAGTGTGCTGGGAATTGTAGGTTTGTGGTGGGTAAATTACACTTCCAATATTCTTTTTGGGGGAGTGCTGTGCTTTAGATGTATGGCTTGTACACAACCACAGATGGAGAAGGGTCCTTGTATGTGGGTGGAGAAAGGTAGGCTTCCTAATAACAGAAAGCATGACAATTAATACATAATGTAATGTAAAAGCTATACAAAAATCACAATACACTGTTATCAAATACAGTTCATTTGTAGGGGGAGGGGACCCAAAACCTTGTACTCATTCATAGTTTATTAGCCCTCACAATACCACATCAAGGCTGGTAACATGAGCTGGACATCAGATCTGCTTTGTATGCTCTGTAGTTTTCCATGATTAATTCTTTCTCAAAAACCATGTCAGGCTATTAATGAGCTGTGTTCCAAATCTGCTTTTGATATTCCATACGTCTACTTTCCTGTGGCTCCACTTCAACATAGAATACTTTGTTATATTAATTAGTCTCCTATTTATTGCCAGCTAGCTCCCTGCTTTGTTAATTCTGGTTTATAGCCTAGGGAACCCTATTTTTCGCTACCGTTATTTCCTTTCAAAGGAAAGGGAATGCCTCGCCTCAGAAGTCTGTCAAGGAAAACAGGATGCAGATCAAGACAGATTAAGGATGAAGACAAACAGACATGGCTCGAGTGGTGCACTCATTGTGGTTCCATGTTCACCCTTTACAGACAGATGTGCAAATTTCCAAACTGAATCAAACTGTTTTCCCCAGATTATAGGAGAAACTGGCTGCACAGTGTTCCTATTGGTTGGCCCTTGTGGCAATCACAAATCCAACCCACCCACCCAACAAAACAATGTTTTTAAGGGCTCGTCCAAGCTTTACTTGCCCCATGCCTAGAAAGCACAGGGCCAAGTGGTTTTCTGTTTATCACACTACTTTCTCAGGGAAAACCCACTCTTTACCACTGAATTGGGTCAAACATCAGTCTGCATGACACCCAAATGATGCTCTGATTCAGTGGTAAAGAGCAGGTTTTGTGGGGGGAAAGCAGTGGGGCAAACGGATGTGTGGATGAGCCTAATTCACCCACCGCTAATGGACGGGCTTTTTTTTTTTTAATGCATGTTCAAGTGGGTGAACATTCCAACACCAATTAAAACAAGGCTCATGAAAGCCAAAAGCCTACCCAAATATTGGGGATGGAGTGGAAAACCATGCCTGAGTCGCAACCAAGTACATACAGTGGAACCTCGGGTTACGTACTGTCCTCCTTACGAATGCTTCAGGTAACAAGCTCTGCTAACCAGTAAGTGGAAGCTCCTGGTTGCAAACTTTGCCCCGGGATGCGAGTGGAAGTTGCGCGGTAGCGGCAGGAGGCCCCATTAGCGAAAGCGCAGCTCATGTTAAGAACAGTTTCAGGTTAAGAACGGGCCTCCGGAATGAATTCAGTTCATAACCGGAGGTACCACTGCACCACTGAAACAGCCACAGAAGTCAGAGCCAAGCAGAGATTGCCCCACAGCCAAAAAACCTGCAGCAGTTCTTGGGGGGAAAGTACATTTGTCTTTATCCTAAGGCAGTTAAGAACTCGCAGTCAGCAGGGAAATCAAGGAAACATAAAGCACAAACCAATTCCTACAACCTCACTGAGGGAAATTTCCCCCTAGTAGATATGAGTACATTTGTTATACTTTACAGCAGGGTGTGGGGGGAAGGCAACATTATTGGCCATCCTTGGCCAACCCTCCAGGAGACAGTATGCCAGCGGTGGGTGTGCCCACTCACACTGCTGGGTGCACACACAATGGACACTGGCACAAACCTCTCTAGCACTTAATGCATTTTTAATTTTTTAATTTTTGCTGCCACAAGCAAAATCAGTGAGGTCTTAGGTGGGTAGGGGTTTAGGAAAAACTGCTACAAAGACCAGATTGAGCACTCAAAGTGGTGGGGTTTTTTTCAGGGGGTACTCAAGGGTACCAGCACCTCTTTTTGTTGTTGTTAAAAAGTGTGGCACTTACTGTAACAACTTCATGGTGAGTACCGGCACCTATTTTTCGGGGGGGGGGAGAAGCACTGGTTACCCCTTGCTCTAGATTTAAATGCCTGGCCTTGAGGGGAACAGAGAAGGGCCTATTCACCCCTAAGACTGTTGCATTCTCAAATAAATCAATAAATTGTGTGCTTACTTGGTAATAGCACTCTGCAGATGTTCAGAGACATTTTCCCCTTTATTATTATTTCCCAGGATCCAGTGTTGGGGCCTTGCATTGGAAAGAACTTCTACAAGTAAGCTATTGCAAGAACTGGCTCAGATCCAGCCCTCTGGGGACAACTGTTCTCCAAGACTTGCTAGGGATGCTTTTTCACTTAAGCCTGGATGTGAAGGGGCTGATCTTGCTTAATGGAGATGGACAAATACAGTTGGACATAACTCAGGGGTGGAGCATCTGCTTCGCATGGAAATGGTCCCCAGTGCAATTGCCGATACCTTTGGTTAGGTCTGGGAAAGGCTGCTGCCTGAAACCATGAGGGCTACTGTCTGTACTGAATTAGATGGACCAATGTTCTGACTTGGTGCTAGAAAGCTTTCTATGTTCCCAATAATGAACTGCCCCACCAACCCCAGTCTACATTTCCCATATTCCTACCTACCACCAGCCCAAGGAGTGCCACTACCTGCCAGCGTCTGCCCCCTTATTCTCAGTGTTGCTGTTTCAGAACACAGCAGGGAGAAGGATGGGGGCTAAACTAGAACCAGTTGGTTTCTACCTGTCATTACTCTGGCTCCACCTACTGTTGACCTCCCTATCTTACACCCTACTAACGCCAACAGGTACCAGCAACTACTACAGTGCACACTGGGGTTTCCCCGTTTCCTGCCGTTTGTAATTTGTTTGTACAAGGCACCATATATCACACTGATTTGTATTTGTGTTTGATAGCAGCACCTATCCTTTTTCTTTCTTCCAACCTCTCTCCACCCGGTCTCCAGTTAGTAAACTCAGTGATATAAACAGAAAGACAGTGTGTAGATTTGGGAGGTGGGCTAGATAGGTTTTTTGATCTTGTCTAGCTTTATGATTCTGCATTTGAGGGCTTGAGTCCTGGCATTGGGATGGGTGAGTGGGTGGGGAGAAGGATTACAGCCTTGGTGAGATCCCTGATCAAATTAAGCCCTCTGGAGAAAGGCATCCTGATTCACAAAGAATCGAGAAGGAATGAAGATCAACGTTTTCTCTTCTGGCTTTCCCTGAACTGACACCACAAGGGAGGGAGGGAAGGAGTGGGGAAGAAGAAAAAGAGGAGGAGGAGCTGAATTCATTTTCTTATGTCTCAGAGATGGGCCTGTGGGTAAGACTGACAGCTTTAATCTTCTCTTTTCTCTTCACTGCCTTCATTTTCTTGCCCTCTTTTTCACTGGGGATAAAATAGGATTAGAAGTTGCTGTGAAATCTCGCAAAAAAAGGGAAGAAAAGGGCTGTTGGCGGGATGGACCAGGAAAGCACAAGCAAGCTTCACATTGTTGATTGCAACAACATCTGCAGAATGGATAATGTGGGTGAGGGTGGTTGGCTCCCTAATATTCAGGTTTCTCTAGGGGGCAGGGAGGGGTTCACTACCACCCTACTGCTGTGCCAAGTAGGGTGCAAGCAGATCCACTAGACTAGTCAGGATGCTTGGCATTTCTGTGCATGTTTAATTGCTTCGGACCTAGCAGTACAGTGCCTGGGTTAAATTTAAACCCTGGACTGAACTGATGGGGGAAACCCATTCTGTAGATGGTTAGGTACAGTATTCACTTCCTTCAAATGGCCTGACAAGGATCCCCACTCCACAAAGGTTCACAGCCACACCATACTTGTAAAGCACTTGAACAACCCAAATAATCCTGGGAACTGTAGTTTGTTAAGAGTGCTGGGAATTGTAGCTCTGTGAGGGGTCTCATCTGCATTTTATTAAGTGTCTCCAGTGCTCCATCTAAGTCACTGTCCATAACCTCCAAAGCCCTATATACAGCTTGAACTCTGACCAGATGAGTCTTTTTTCTTCCCTTTCTCCAGTTGCAGCCTTGGAAATTATGTATTCCTTACTATAATGGTATTTATATATTTGTCTTGATTTATCATGTTGTAGATGTATTGTGTTATGGAGTACGTAGGTGTTGTATGTTATAATCCACCCTAGGTCTTCTGACAAAGGATGATATACATACATAATCACAATTTCCCCAGCTCACCCCCACAACTGTGGCACCCTGCCATTTTAAACAATAAGCACCTATCTGGCTCTCAATCTACATGGATAGATAGACAGGCAGGCAGGCAGGCAAGAAGGCAGGCTGGCAGATAAGCATCAATTTGATGGGTGGGAGAGGAGTACTTTTGGTACGAAGGAAGGGGTCCCTCTTCTCATCCTCTACATTCCAGCTGTGCCTTCCTTGCCCCTGTGCTCAGAATTTTTCCTCTCCTGCTCCCATGAGAAGCTCGCATCCTGCATCCTACATTGAGGAGCGTGTTCCTGTTAGCACCAAGGGCAGTGAATTATGTCACCACATAAGGTGACTGAGCAGGAGGGAAATGGCAGCAACAGCACCTCTAGCAGGGACACCCTTAGGGCGTAGTCAGCAACTGATTCATAGGAAGGGTAGTCTAAGGAGAGGAGGAGGGCAGTGTCCGTCAGTCCAACTGCTGCAGACACTACTACTTTCCTACACTTCGCTTGCTTGCTTGCTTGCTTGTTTCTCTATTTGGAGGTAAGTTTTTTTTATTCAGATCTTCAGCCAAAAAAAAAAAAAGGCTGCCAGATGTATTTTTGCAAATAAGATCACATCCACACCATGCGTTGAAAGCAGTCTTATTCACATTAGCAGTCATGGAGAATCCTGGGAACTGTTATTTGTTAAAGGTGCTGGGAATGGTAGGTCTGTGAGTTCAGCACCCTTAACAAAGTACAGTTCCCAAGATTCTTGGGGGATGGGGATCCATGCCTATTAAAGTGGTATAGAAGTGAATCGTAGAATTGTAGATTTGGAAGGGATCCCAAGGGTCATTTAGTTCAACCCCCTGCAATGCAGGTATGTCAACTAACGCATCCATGACAGATGGCCATCCAATCTCTGCTTAATACAGGCTTTCAATATGTGGTATAGATGTGATCTATTATGCAATATATATTGCATCACTGAATTCAAAATGTGTTCTGCCAGCCCTGCTGCATTTGGAGCAACACTTGCTCATTTTGCTGAGTGCGGCCATCGATGTCTGTCTCAAAGCCTTACCCTGAAGGCACCATGGCTACCTAGACCATTTTCATCAGTGATGCCCTGAATTGCTTCCGGACTCTGGCACACCCATCTCTCAAGGTAAAAAGGGGGAGATTTGCACTTACTTGTTCTGACTCCTGGCCCTGAAGTCCTTCCTCTCTCCCTATTGACCTTGCTACTTGATCCAGGGTGAAATCTAAAGCCACAAAACCCAGGATAGAGATTGTTAACATCTTCACTCATGCCAGGCACATCCACATCCAATATATGCTAAAAGCAAACTCATTACAATGCTTCATAATAACTACCATGCTTGAAGGTTTGTGCTTGTAGATGTATATCTTTATCATACTGCGTTGTGCTTGCTTGTAGATTTATATCTTTCTTATGTTAGGGTGTTTGTAAATTCTTAATCCAGCAATCTTCTATTTTGCTTAGCTTGCTGGTATAGGAGTTGGCATCCTGGAAGGTCTTGCTTGGGAAAATATTGCTTAGGTTTTGAAAAGCTGCCCTGAAGTTGCTGGCAAAGGAGGAGCCAAAGTATTTCAAGGAGCTTGGATTTGCTACATAGCCGCTCAGGCTTTTGAAAGCTTACCTTAATTAATTAATGACCTAGCTTAGAAAACTTTTGTGAACATGAAACCAATTGAAAGGAACATCTCCATCTATGGGATCAGATCCTAAAGTGGAAAGGAAGGACAGTGGCCTTCTTGTGAATATAGGTAACTTTAATATGCAAGATGGCAAAGAGCAATTTCTCACTTGCAGGATAGCCCCTGTGTTCTACCAAGTTTGTTTTCTCCAGCTCCTTAAAATGAATGCAGAATTAGAGCCTTTCTCAATGAAGTCTTTCTAAATGATCAGTGTATAGGTCAAGAAATATGTAGCTGTTGATCCTTTGTGATGTGAGCTGCATGCATCTTCGCATACTTTTGCTTCAAGGATACTGCAAGGATTCCTTAGCCCTCAAAAAGCAACATATTGTTCTGAGGAGAATTCAATTACCGGTATTTCTCTAACTAGTGGGGACATTGCAACATGGGATGCTGTGTTGAATACTGGGGTTTGCACACATGTCACAGGCACCTATTGAACAGTGCCTGTGACATCGCCAGTGACATAACTCTCCATACCTTGTGCTAGTGATTGGCTTGAAAAGAAGTGGGTCTGAAGCTGACTAGAGCCCTATTCCCACTTTACTCATGTGTGGGGATTAGTGTGCATACTTTGAAGTAGGACCACACTTTTAGACCCACCCCTGACACCATGTCTTCTCCTGCTACAACCGTGTGTTATGTGCAGTTGTCTGTAGAGAACCCTGAGGGCACAATCTCCTGCTGACATTTAGAAGCTCTGCATGATGGGGACATCCAGTTTTGGAGGAACCCAGGTTGTATGGAGCCCCCCTACATGAACAACTGCACACAACATGTGCTGCTGCAGAGAGAAGGCACATTGGGGGCAGGACTAAAACTGCAGCCCAGCTCCAAGGTAAACATGGCAATGCTCTACTTGTGAATAATGTGAGGACAGGGCTTTTGTCTGAAGACAAAGGGTGGAGAAGCTCCTTGACAGCTTCAATGCCAACAGCCTGAAACAGGATTAGCCAACTTGGAGACCTCTAGATGTTGGTGGTCTACAACTTACATCATCCTTGATCATTGGTTATGCTGGCAGGAGTTGATGGGAACTGTAGGGCATGACTCTGGCCTAAGGCCTGATCTACACACACAACAGAATGAGGCAGTAACTGTTTAAAATGAGCATGCTAAGGCTCAAGCTTACCTAGAAGCTGTACTCCTGAAATTAAGATCTATAGAGGCTGCACAGTAGCGGCACAGGACACTCTGTACATTCTTAGACACACTCTCTACATATTATCTCTACATGTGTTCCTGAGCTAGAAAGGTTCAGGAGCTAAACATCACTGAAGCTCAAATTATTACCTCATACATTTCCCCCCTCACCAAAACCCAAAATTTAAAAAATCATTTGATCATCCTCTCTTCTTCCCAAACATGGTGAGGAGAGATTAATATTCCAATTAGAAATGCAATAGCAATGGACGAGATACACATATACATGTGGAAGTGGAAGTTTTCAGCAGTGTGGACTGACTAGCACTTGCCTACAAGCCTCTAACATGCCCTACCAAAGGACCTTTCAGTTTTCATCCAGATCAGATGGGTTCAGACCATTCACCCACAGGACAGTTCCTGGCATTTCAAAATTGATCGCCTGCTGTTTGCAGACAAATTAGAAGGGTAATCGACGAGCAAAAGGAATGCCAATGAGCTCAGCATAAACACTCAGCTCTTTCCAGGCCTGGATAGATCCATTCACAACCCATTTCTGCTGAAATATTTTTAAGCCAAGGTGGTTCCATTCACTTCAATGGAACGCTGGTGTTTTAAAGATCAAGAGTTTTGGCTCAACTGGGTTGTGGACGGGCTGGATGGATGTTAATCAGGACCAGCAAAAGATGTTTTGGTGCCTGTCAAATGGCCCCACCCATAGGGTGCACGCAGATGATAATTTCCCCCCTGCAAGCCTCCAAGTTCTATTATCCTCATTTGCAGCTCCCAAGAAAACTGTTTCCAGAAGGAAGTGCTATACAGGCCAGAACTGTCTCCTTTCTCACTGTCAATAACGGTGTTTAAAACCTCCTAGCTGGGTAGATTATGGTACCCTGCCTCATGGTAGGGGCTGCTTCAAGAATGGAAGTGGATCTCTTATTTGTATAACCAATGGACTTTAGGGCTGGGATTTGGACAGGAAGATCATCAGACAACATTGTCTTTGTAGACTTGCTTAACTTTTCCTCCCTAAATAGCATTACACCTCCATACTGATTTGTTTGCTGATTTGGAATCCCTCCCATCACTCCATCTGCCAAAATGGAAGGGTGAAATTCAGTCCCAGACTCTTCAGAGGCAGATATCAGAAGCAGAATTTAGTCCCACACCTCCTGTATCCCATAGAGGTATGCAGAGGTTAAAACACAGATGCTTAGCAATGAGAACTGAAATGGACACCATCTTCTTAGCCCTTCATCCATAATATTCCTTCTCTCCCACCAATAGTTCTGTGAATATATTAATGCCAAAATAAATCTTTCACCTGCTCTAATCCTCCCCAGAATCCACCACTGCTGATTGTGCTGTCAGTCACATGTTATAAGTTTTGTATTTGATATCTGGCATTCTCCATTCAAGAACTGACATTTGACAGAAGGTAGCTGTGCTGTCATTTCGATACACCTCTATCAAACTGCTTCCCTAATTGGCAGGTGAAAGCTGAGTTTTAGGAGGCTAAAAGACTGAGGCCTGGAGGAACTGCAATTCCCCCACACCTTTGCTGTATGAAAACTCACATTAGTAACACATTGGGGAGGGGGGGGACATAGCCTTTCTAGGATGTCTGAGCATTGGGGCAAAGTACAATAAAACACAGTTCTACGACACTGAGAAATTAGCCAGTCTAGGAATCCTGCGAGGCCCATACTCTATGGCAAAAGCCTCAGGTATGTGCAGTGCATGTGATGCCTGCATTTTTTTCCCTCATTATGCACTCTGGGTGCCCTTTATCCCTAAAGTGCAAGGTCTGGAGCAAAGAAGAGTCTTCCACGAGTGGCACATATTATAAGAATTCTAAGGTGTCAGAAATAAAATGAATGTTCATAAGTGCACAAGGTAAACACACAGACATAAGTACCTGAACTACATGTCTGAAACAGTACAGGAGAGCAATCCTCAAAGGCTTTCAACAGATAATTGGACACTGCTATCCCAATAGCCTATTGAGGGTGAAAGAGGAGAGCGCAAAATATGGTCTGAAGCTCAACATCAAAAAAATGAAGATCATGGCCACTGGTCCCATCACCTCCTGGCAAATAGAAGGGGAAGAAATGGAGGCAGTGAGAGATTTTGTTTTCTTGGGCTCCATGATCACTGCAGATGGTGACAGCAGCCATGAAATTAAAAGACGCCTGCTTCTTGGGAGAAAAGCAATGACAAACCTAGACAGCACCTTAGAAAGTACAGACTTCACCTTGCCAACAAAGGTCCTTATAGTAAATGCTATGGTTTTCCCAGTAGTGATGTATGGAAGTGAGAGCTGGACCATAAAGAAGGCTGATTGCCGAAGAATTGATGCTTTTAAATTATGGTGCTGGAGGAGACTCTTGAGAGTCCCATGGACTGCAAAAAGATCAAACCTATCCATTCTTAAGGAAATCAGCCCCGAGTGCTCACTGGAAGGACAGATCATGAAGCTGAGGCTCCAATACTTTGGCCACCTCATGAGAAGAGAAGACTCCCTGGAAAAGACCCTGATGTTGGGAAAGATCACAACGGAGAAGGGGATGACAGAGGACGAGATGGTTGGATAGTGTTCTTGAAGCTACCAGCATGAGTTTGACCAAACTGCGGGAGGCAGTGGAAGACAGGAGTGCCTGGCGTGCTCTGGTCCACGGGGTCACGAAGAGTCGGACACGACTAAATGACTAAACAACAACAACATCCCAATAGCCATCCCTGAGCAACCAGACTCCATTCCCTAAGGGCCAAACTACCAATGAAATTATTCTTACAACCAGCAGCTTTGTGAATAGTTTTCAAACAAGTAAATAGCAAGGGAGGGGTATGGGTGTGCATGTGGGTGTGGGTGGCTGTGCATTCTGGATCTTGACCATAATAGAGGACAGAACTGAGGGAGCATTGCCACCATTGTCATGATCTCAGTCCAATGCTGGGTATTGTCCATCATCCCACCTGCTGTTTATATCAGGAGCAAAGACCCTCATTGAGCCTCAGGAGGGCAGGCAATCCTACTACCTCTGTAACGTGGCAGTAAACAAAGTTTAACAGGAACAGGTTTTTCCATGCATAGAGAGGCAGCCACCCCTACTGAATTTCTGCCTTTTACTCAGCTATAAATGAGACAGAAGCCGTACTGAAGGGAAAGATGGTAACCTGCCTGAGTACGCTTTGACCAATCAGTCTCTCACAACAGCCATATCCCACTTTGCAAAGTTGTTAATGAAAGTAAAGAACAGAATGGCACTTTGTGTGTGGAAGAATGCCGAGGAACTTGTAAAAACAATTTATTATATGTTCCTCATTTCTGTTGCTTCTATCCCATAGCCACAGCAGGAGGCTCTTTAATTACGGGGATTAAAGTCATCACTGAGAACGCAACTGCTAATCAAACACTAAACAATATTAATGAGCCTGGCAAGATGCCCAGAATGCGGTTTAAACTGAAGGGTAGTGGGGCAGTTTCTACCAGGGGGCCTGGAATCAAACATGGCAGCTGAATGAACTGGCTTCCTGTCTCTGCGAGTACTCTGTGTGGGAAACTGTAGTCAAATATAACTAGCAAGCTTAGGGCTAGTTAATGCATGAAGGGGTTAAGACCACAGAATTGTATTCCTAGACTCAGGTCATGACCCCTCACCTCTGATGAAGAAGGAAGTGAAGCTTCTTTCTTCATTCTCTTCCACCATATGAAACCACTCAGGCAACACGCCTGGGCTTGACTGCTTCAAACCCAGACTGTGTGGTCAAAAATATTTTTCTGTATTTTGTAAACTCAATATTTCTACCTGTTTTCTTCTTGCTGCTACATGGAATAATGCATCAATCGGACCTTTGAAGTTTGTAAGTACAGCAAAGCATTTAAAGTTACTAAATGGTGTGGTCTATTCATTGCAGGAGGGATAGAAGGGAAGTGGTGTAAGTAGACTGGAATGGGATATTTGAAAAGTCTAACAGCCTATTATTCTCATACTTCTATGGACCCTCTCTTGCTGCAGAGTGTGTTTAGCCCCAAGCTTTGGATCTAGGGATCCAGCCAATTCTTTTATTAATTAACCCACATGGGTGATCTATATCTGTTTTTCTCCCCACACTCCGTTCATCGACTCTTATAACTGTATTGTAAATCTAAGACCTGCCCAATGGTGTTGCATTTCTGGGATTGTGATACTTCAGAACCCAGGAATGTATATTTGGAATGTTCTCTCATGTTTAAAAAACAACAGCAAACCCAGTCCTTCACACATATGAACAATTAGCATGGGGGAAGGCTAACCTACAACCCTTATTCCTGAAATGTTAGCATTCTGTGGGCAGGGAATTTTTACTGTGTGGAGGAACCAAATGTGCAGAACCCATTCATTCTCTGAAATGGTATCACCCCAGCAGAAAGGTTGTATGTACCATGTGCTCTTTCTGAACATGTAGCTTGACCTTAAGTCTTGCCTTGCCAGGGAAAAGAAACAGGGGCTTGATTTTCCACAAATGCATCTCTTTGATTTTGAAATTATATGTATTATATTTGCTTTACTTTTATCATGGGTCAAACAATGGAGACTTGTGGGCTAATAGGAAGAGGCCAAGAAATCAAATCCCCCTTTTTGATATTAACAAATGATGGCAGGCAAGCAGGATCTTTGAGCAGCAGTCTCCTGGTATCAACAAGGTCTTGCTCCTTGCATCTGTACTGTTTTGTCTGTTTCATTATACCTTGAATTGTGCAGGGGAAGGAAGCAGGGGTAAGGGGATGAAAGCTGTAAGGTGGATCTTAACATGAACCTGGGCTTCTCTTTCTCCTAAAACCCATCCATGTTGCAACTCAATCCTAGAAACATGATAACTTTCTACAGACCAGAGTGTCTCTAAGTATGTTCTGTCTTTCTTTCATTGTGGTCAACCATATGACCAATTTGCCTACTGTACTTAGGGGAGATGCATCTAACCCAGGGCTGACTAAGCTGTGGCCCTCTAGATGTCGTTGGACTACAACTCCCATCATCCTTGACCCCGGCTATGCTGGGTGGGGCTAATGGAGTCTGACACCTGTTCTAGCCCCAGGAGAGAGAGAGAGAGAGAGAGAGAGAGAGAGAGAGAGAGAGTTTGTGTGAATGAATCAGGACTGAACCCCATCACCCCCTTTAGAAATTAAATAGTGCTGTGCGGTAGGAAAGGTGATTGGGCTGTTTAAAAACTGTGCAGCACATTCTCTCCTTGCTGTGCAATCAGGAGGTATCTTGTTCAAGCCCTGAGGTGCCTACAATTCACAGCAAACCAATTCAGCCAAGTGCCAGAATTTCAGATTTGCAGCGCAGACCATGCCAGGTTCCTACATGTCCCTCTGCAACACTTGGGCCTTCTGACCACAAACATCCTTTAGTTCGCTTGTAGAGCTGGGAGGGATTAAAGGAGATAAGAATGTAAGAACTGCTGTGCTGGAGAAATCAAAAGCTCCATCTAACCCAGCACGCGGTCCCCAGCAGTGGCCAGTCACGAGCCAATGAGAAGTTCACAAGAGAAGCCTGATGGAGAAAACCACTCTCTTTCCCACCCCCATTTATCCTGAGCATCTGTTCATCAGAAGTATTCAGCCTCTGAGCCTGGACAGTCTATTCTTAGCTATTATGGCTAATAGCTATTACTAGACATATCCTACATGAATCTGTCCAATCCTTTTAAAAGCCATCTGTGCTTATGGCAATGAATGCTGCAACTTTGTTGTGTGTTGCGTGGGTGGGGGGGAAATATTGCCTTTTGTTTGTCCTGTACCTGCTGCCAATCCATATCACTGGAAGGCTTTGAGTTTTAGCACTTTAAGAGAGACTTTCACTTTTGAGGACGGAGTGGCCAGACTCTAAATGAGGCCGCACCACAGACTTACATAATCACACCTAATACTTGCCTCTTTATTTTGAGTTCCTTCCCTAATCTTTCATACTGAAATGGATTTGCCTTTTGAACTGCTGCAGCGTCCAGAGCTAATGTTCCTGGTAAGATTTTTACAGTGGCCACCTCTGCTCCCACACTGCCTCTGCTCTGCTTGAATATTTATGCCACCAGGGGTGCATTCAGACATGGGGAATATTATGTTAGTCTTCCTGATTTTAATGCCAGTGGTTCTGTCCTGTTCCTTTCACACTGCCCGTACCTGTTGCATTATGGGGCTGTGGCTTTCTGACCAACATATTGGCATGTCACACTAAATTTAATTCACACCAAAGGACATCGTTGGACAACATCCTTACTCCCTCACCCTTTCCACTTCTGTTTCCCCATGATTCACCCATGAAAACAGAATCATATGCTGGTATACCACATCATATTTCATTAATTCACTTCTGAAATTTTCTGGGTGGATAGGGTTGCAAGCAGATTATTTCTGGAAACAATTAACACGGAATGAGTGCTAAGCTTCAACTATATTCCACTATATTTCCAGCTTTTACATTGTGTGAAAGCAAAAATATAATACAGAAATTATCAGTTAGTAAAACAGAATAAATTACCATGCGAATGCAGCTGAAGGATCTTTAAATGTATGGTGTGGACATTGGCAAATTGGGTGAGGTTTTGCAGGACCCAGGTAAAAGTTGCACAGTTCAGCTTTCTGGGAATTTATCATTCTTTAAATCAGAGGCTCTGCACACACCAGGCACATTCAAAGCACACACAGCCAAGAATTCTGGGAACAGCACTTTACAGACTTACAATTCCCAGAATCCTTAGGAAGCTGCAATTCCCTGGATTCATGGCAGGAGGGGAGCTTGAATGTCCTTTCCAAGTATGGTGTATATGTGGCCAAAGAGGGGCCGAATAAGATTTCAGAGGGTTGGGGGGGGGCATTTCAATGCTCTGAAAAGCTCCTTCTGTAACAAGCAGACACAGATCAAATTTCTAAACCATGTGAGCTGTTGTGCAAATTTGCGTAATTGCAAGAATTAGCTTTGTTGTTCCCATATTTGGACTACCTTGTTGCAAAACAATGATTTATTTAAAAATCCACCATATTGTATATTTACAAGGATTTGCAATGGTTTAAAGCAGCAACTTCAGCACCCCTGCATCCTGCACAAGACTTAGCACATATTCTGCAAGTATGAATGCTAACTAGGCACATGGGAAACCTAATGAAGAATGCTATTCTGCAGGTCCCTTTGCTTATTCTGAGTGGCGGGCTTCAACAGGAAAATCCAGTTACCATTCTGAAGTTGCACAAGGTTTGGCTTGCATGTCAGCTTATTAATTATCAATTTCTCACTGTCAAATGACCCCCTTTCACACATGTGCGTTTTGTTCGCAGTTGCAGCACATAATGGGTTTTGCTGTTCTGAGGCAGCGTAAGCAGTCAGCTGTCCTCAGACGTGTGGGTTTTGGTGATGACAAGATCACCCTGTGAGAAGAAACAGGAGAGGAAGGCAGGCAAAAAGTACCTCCTGCTTCAGTGGAACTGTCCTGTTCCTGTGGGAAAGAGCAGGAGAGTGAGGGAGGCAAGTGAAGACAAAAGAGCCAGCAGAGGGGTAATCACAGTCTGCTCTCGCTTCAGCTGACTGTCTCCTTTCCCCACAAGACCATCTCCCAGCAACTGCTCTGTGCAAAGGAATATCAGATGTGGGCTTCTGCTTCAGTGGAACTAGTTGTTTTTTAAGGTGTGTGGTTCTTGGTTTATCCGTTTTATTTATTAAATCTTCCAAGTCTGAGAGTGGGATAAAAGCCTATTAAATAAATAAACAAACAAATATAGATTTACACAATAAAGCATTAAAACATCATGGGATCGGTTGGTTTGGCTCCTGGACAGGCATATATAGCTTTCACAAGAATGTAGATGGTTAGGCACAAGAGAGCTGGAATATCACGAGTTCCCTGCAGATGTCTTAGGAATACATAATTCATGTTCATGTAAGTGTGATTCATTGAAAGCACTGTGGAATTGAGGCATGAATACCAGAATTTTTGGATCAGCATTCAGAAGTGAAGAGTTTCAGTATTCAACCAGGCAGGTGTGAGGGTGGAAGGTTCTGAATTATGGGAACAAACTAAAAGAAGTAATAGGAAGAGAGCAGTCTTGACATGAAATTGCAATGGCTTTTGACCAATGTATAGTTGAACAATGGGGTTAGGGAACAAAGTTGCCCAGCATCTCTTTCCAACCACTGAGACAAGTCCCAATAAACATTATACCCAAAATGGGACTTTTGAGAAACACGAAGAAAGCATCAGCATGTTTGGAAGAACCCCAAAGTTTGCAGAAGCAGAAAAATACTAAAGAGACAAAAATCCCACCCCTTCTCCAAACAGCCCAATACAAACTGAGTATTCTCAGTATCCATGGAAGGACTGTTGGCATATCATAAAAAAGAAAACCACTGGGGAAATGGAATGGAATACCCTGAAAGAAGGTGTGACTAGCTGGCTGGCTTGAACACCCAAAAAAACTCCATACTGCAACCATTTGTTCGAGGTCCCATTAGTAATTGTTCCTATATTGCAGATGGAGGCTGAGAGAACAGCAACTTGAACAAGGTCACTTCCTGTTGGTAGGATCCACACTAGCTGATTTCAGTGGGATCACAGCATGTCTAACACAACCCAACTTCAGGTATTCAGAATAAGAAGTAGGTATACCTGTAATGGTGGCCTGTGGGGATGAGCATAGCTAGCTTTGCTCCCTCTTTGCCATTCCTGTAGCCCTCCATTAATTGTAGGGTGAACTTGTGAATTGTATTCCTGGAGGCTCCCTAACCATTTTAGAACCCTAGAAAATCAGGATTCTAAAATGTGCATAAGTACAGGATGCACCTTCTAAACTCACGGAGTGGGAAGGATATGGTGACTGGGGTGGTGTGGGAGCTATTGAACTTGTCCCCCCAAGGTTACCCTTCCCCTTGCATATTTAACTCCAATTCAAAACAACTGAAGGTTGTTGTTGTTTTAAGGGATTCAACCCTATGTGAGATTCAAACCAGATACTTTCTAGCTATCAGATCACAGCCCTTATAGGCTCCTCCAGACAACCTCTTTATTGAGCATTCATCCTGATTTGCTTGTACAAAGCTTACATGAAAGTTAGACTATGTCCAGTCTTTATTGAGCATTTGTTCTGATTTATTTGTGGGTGGTTATACAACAATGAGCATTCTTCCTGATTGGCTTGTGTGGTGGCTATACATCTTCCTATTAATCATTCATTGATCTCACCTTTTTCAATACCCTATCCCCTATCACTTTCCTAACCATGAAAAGTCAGTTTTGTGTATGTATAATGTGGATTTGTTGTTCAAGGGCAACAGAGCACTTTAATCCACTTTAACTGCACAAAGCCAAATTTACAGAATGCCCATCAATTTCTCCTGCAAATATTGACAGTCTGCATGCAACCTATTGACAGCTGTCAGGCATGTCTTCTGAGGATAATATTGAGCTAGACCTGAGCATAGCTGAACCTTCTTCCTTGACATGCTCTTCAACCTCATAACTGAGCAGGGATCCCTTCAATCAAAATCCAGACCCTCCCTGTCCGCTTCCTCAATCTAAAGCACTGAGCCCCTTGGGTTTGCTGATTGGAAGGTCAGTGGTTCGAATCTGTGTGACGGGGTGAGCTCCTGTTGCTCTCTCCCAGCTTCTGCCAACCTAGCAATTCAAAAGCACACCAGTGCAAGTAGATAATAGGTACTGCTGCAGTGGGAAGATAAATGGTGTTTCCATGTGCTCTGGCTTCTGTCATGGTATTCTGTTGTGCCAGAATGTTTAGTCATGCTGGCCACATGACCCAGACAAACAGCAGCTCCCTTGGCCTGAAGTGAGATGAGCGCCACACCCCATAGTCGCTTTTGACTGGACTTAACTGTCCAGGGGTCCTTTACCTTTACCTTAACCTCTCCTTAGTTTTAGTGTAGAACTCATTGGCTCTGGCTCCACCTACTGTTAGCCCCCTATCTTACACCCTTCGAGCCGCTACTGCTGCCTCTCCCCCACAAGGGAGTTTTGATGCTAAGTGGCGTACTGAACTCCCATCCTCTAAAAGCACAAGACAAACATTGTACCATATCAGGCCAGGCCCCTTATGCCTTCAAGCCTTTCCTTCAATTTGTTGCAAAATTAAAGAAGTGCCAAAACTAACATTCCCAACCTTGTAGAATTGTGGACACAAAAAGTCCATTAATCCTGAAGTACTCCAAAAGACATTATTTTTAGAAAATCATTTTCTTTTCTTTTCTTTTTTTTGTTCCCTTCATTCCCAGCAGGCAGTGAGAGGAAAGTCTTGTTCAGGCTGATAGCTTGTGTCAGCTGTAGTGACTCAGGAAGGCACGGATGTCTGCTAAATGCTGCAGGGCTTGGGGTTTGCTCCAAGCAGAGGCAGGGACTGTGCAATGCAGGAGGTGAATAAATAATTCAGGGCTTAAGAAAACAGGATTTGCCATGTTCCTCCAGACCAAAGAGCCATCTAAGCTCAGCAGTCCATCTCTGACACTGGCAAGCCAGGTACCTGAGGCTGAGCAAAGTAAACAAGCAAGGCTTGATGGATGGTGAGATCTATCCCTTGTTAGCAGCATCTGGTAGTCAGAGGCCTCAGAACATGGTGGTTTTGACTCTGTATGGCTTCCTGGGAGACCTTCTGCAGGCCACATGCAAATGGTGAGTGGAACTACAGGGGGAAGTAGACAGGACAATGAATGTGAAGTTTACTTGTGTACAGTAAGCTGGATTTGCTCACCTCTCTAGCCTCCATCCAGACAAACAAGAAGCACTGTTAGAGTTCAAGGGCACATCCCAACAAGGTAAAAAGTTCAAAGAGGGTGCAAAGCAGGGTCAGTGAGGGGTATGGTCTGGAAAAAAAATCCAAAGGGCCAGACAGAGAGGCCTGAAGGGCCACATTTGCACACACACCCAAACTGAGGTTCCTCACCCCTGCTAAAATGGAGCTTTTTCTAACCATTTCCTCTAAGGGTTGCTAATGGAAAGGGTGATTTGGAGGGTCTCTACAACCTCTTCCCTTGCTGTTCCTTAGTCACTCATTAAAGAGAGAGAGAACTCCATTTGGGGCAAAGATGTAGCTCAGTGGTAGAGTTCAATTCCCGGCATCTCCAAGGCAAGGCGGAGAAAGCAGGTCCTCTGCCTGAAATCCTGAAGCGTCCCACCCATTAATGTGCAGACAAGATTGAGCTAGATGAGCCCAACAGTCTGAACTGGTATTATGCAGCTTCCTGTGCTCCTATTCATTTGCCAGTTCTCTCAGGATGGTGTGGGGAGGCACACTGCACAGGTTCAGAGGCACTCTCATTTTTAAAAGTTGGCAGGCCTATTGCTATCTTGGAGTGAATAAATAGGAGCCGTTTGCAGTTGCTGCCCTCTGAGCCTCCCTTCCGTACTGGATTCTCTATTCCAATTTTTCCCTTAATGTCTTTCATGATGGCTTAACTAATCTTGCAGCCTGCTTTGCTGCACACAGCTTGGAACAATCGAGCTAATCGCTTCACTGCTGCACAAGATATTTTCCCAATCTGATTTCAAAGGAAATGCTATTGATCACTCCTGTCCCGCCAAGACCTCTGGGTGCACTGCTGTACCGGAGAGCTGCTTTGCATTCTGGATGGGCTTGTGCTGCACAGAGTCAGCAAGGAGGGAGAATTAATCCCACCGTGTGCAGAAAAAGTACTGTGGGTTAGCCTGGGTAAACCACAGAGCCAAAACAGATCTTATATTTGAAGATAAGTCATAGCAGGTTGCTTCTTCGCCAGCATTAGGAGCTCCTGGCTCCCAATAATTTACACAACAGATGTAAACATAGGGCTAGCTGTCAGTCTTGTTCCTGCCCACCCCTGTGGTTTAGGTAGCCTGTTCCCATCCCTTTTCCACTCTCCCAGTGCATTAAGATACTCAGGTGAGGCTGCAAAAGAGGTGCATTATGCATCCACAAAGGACAGGGTCTTTTCAGTGGTGGTACCCTAAGTTTGAAACACTCTCTTGAAAAAATAAGTCTGGTGCCAACATGATATACTCTTCAGCTTCAGGTTAAGACATCTTTATGTGTGTAGGCTTTCTGAATTCACCATATTGCCTTAGCTGGTTGAATATGTTCTTGTTTATTATTTCAAAGATTGTATTAATGTTGTTTTGATTTCCCCCACCACTACACTGTGTTAATATTATGTTAACATTTTGTTGCTCTTGTGCCTCTTGCATTTCAGTTCTAAGATTCTGTGAATAAACCCTGAAGAAAAGACCTAGCTGGAAGCCTACCCATGCAGAAGAAGGAAGCCTTAAATCTACTACTCTGTGACAAAACACTGCATCCTAATGTTCTTGTTACAAATATGATTTGAATGAAGGCAAATATTAAAGTATCTATGCTGGCTCAATTGTGTTCACATAATGGGGACAAGGGGTGGGGATTTCAGCAACCTTAATCTCTTTCTTATGGGTTTGGCAGGTAAAAACATGCTGTGGTTGCTAGGATACTTATCTCCTGCGCTGAAGTAGCAGAAACAGGTGGCTATGAGCTGAAGGTCATCTGTGCTGAAGGAGGGCAGCTGTGGGGGCAGCCTGCACACAGGCTCCCCTTTACAGGCCTGGCATCCTGGACAAATGTCCGTGTTGTCCAACGACCTAGCCAAGAGCTATGTTCTAAATTGCTTGTTCCCCCTTGATAGCAATCATGGCCCTGTTAAGAGTCAGTCCTTTCATTTCAGCTCTTCTTCTAGCAGATTAATTAAGTTTTATTCAAACACTATCTGCTCCGTGCCTTCATTATGGAAGAAATGGCTATCTGGTGGGTCCCCTCGCAATCAATGGCCTTCGGGTAATGTTGCTTAATGGCACTGTGGCCAAGAGAAAATCAATAGCAGACTAATATCTGGTGGGTCCGTGATGAAAGGGAGCAGATGTGAAATTCCAAAGAGCTGAGAAGAGATTTGTAAAAGGAAAGTTCATATGGCTGGGAGAAGATTCCAAATACACTAACATAAGCTTCTAATGGAGTCTGATAAGCAAAGAAGAATAGGCTGCATGTTAGGAAAATTAAGGCTGACGTCAAGAAATGTGTCTTAATGTCAGGATTAGTCGAACTCAGGCATAGGCAAACTCGGCCCTTCAGATGTTTTGGGACTACAACTCCCATCATCCCTGACCACTGGTCCTGTTAGCTAGGGATGATGGGAGTTGTAGTCCCAAAACATCTGAAGGGTCAAGTTTGCCTATGCCTAGTCAAACTCAATCACCATCATCCATGTGGTTTAAAAAAAAAAAAAAAAGTTTCACAGAGTTCCATCACACTTTGTGCAGCCTTCCCCAACCTGGTGCCCTCCAGATGTTGTCAAGACATCTGGAGGGCACCCAGTTGGGGAAGGCTGCTTTAGTGTTGTACCAAGAAACAGAACCCAGGATCATGCTGTGCCTGAGATTGCCAACAGTGTGCCTTTGGGTGCATCGGAATCCTTGAGGACTTATCCTGGCATCCATCAAGCCTCTGAAATCCTGCCCCCTTAGGTCATAAGGTGGTGAGGGTAGCTACATCTCCCCTTCCTTGAAGGGGAATCCTCTTCCACCACTTCTTCTTACAGTTCTAAGTGGTTTTCAAGGCTCAGATTGGCACCCAAGCTGAAGATCAGAGCCTTGAAAAGAACATGGAGGTGAAAGAGGAAGTGCAAAAACACGATGCTTCCTCCTACTTCAGCTCTGTGTGATCACAGCTGAACAGAAATCAGAGCTATCAAGAGGGAGGAGAGAAAGAAGAGCCAGCTGGGAGGAAAGCAGATAAAATTGGGTGCTGCAGGAGGTGAGGTAAAGAGAGGGGAAGAACAGAGTGCCAGGCAGAGGAGAATGGGAATGTGAGAATGAGTTGCTGGAGTGAGAGAAAGTGTATGTGTGCATGCATGCACGCAGGCACGCACGCAGGCACGCATGTGCGCACACGCACACACACACACAGTAGAGGAAGTAAAATGGATCCTCCTGAAATTGCTTAGTTTTTTTCATGGTTTCCACCCTCCCCTGCCAATTGCCAACAGATCAGAGATCACATCTGTCTCTCATTGACTGACCCATCAAAATTGTGGATACAATGGTTTACTTCAGTGCCACAAAAAACACGGAATCCTCATTCTTTTTAATAGTTTTTTTTGGGGGGGGTTATAAAAAATAGCAACCCCTTTTTAACAGAAATCCTAAGATATACAATGAAATGACAGATAAGATTACGAAGTCAGATGTCTAAAGCATAGGATATGATTTAACCTAGAACAACAACATCTAGATGTCTATGAAAGTTCTGTGGGAGATTAACAGCCAGACCCTACAAATGCATATTCTTGCTAGTTAGCATGAAAAGGGGCTAACACCACAGAGCTGTACTGCTGATAGTCAGATACTCAGCCCACAGAAATACAATTGGTAGAGAGGGCTCTGTGTGGTGTTATTTCTCCCTCCTCTCCTGGAGAGGAAGGAACATAGAGTACTTCCTGTTCTTCTCTCTCTTCCGTTGACCAGTGTTGGATGCAGATATGCCTCTGCCTGTTTCATCTCAGGCAGGTGCCTGAAGTTGGTTATACTGTAAATATAAGTATTTTGCCTGCATAGTTTTTACCGCACATCCCAACAAGGTAAAAAGTTCAAAGAGGGTGCAAAACAGGGTCAGTGAGGGGTATGGCCTGGAAAAAAATCCAAAGGGCCAGACAGGGAGGCCTGAAGGGCCACATTTGCACACACACACACAAACTGAGGTTCCTCACCCCTGCTAAAACGCAGCTGTGAACCAGTGCATGATTATAAAGTACGGTAAGTAAATTTTATTTTTAAACTTGCTTTGCAAGTTGTTGCCTGATTCTTTAAGTGGGATAAGAAGGCAGAAGCCAGTGTACTTTGTAGCTAGACTTGCTCAAAAGGAGGCTTTGCAGCCTAATTGCTATGCATTAATTTTGCTGCGAAGGATGGGACTTTGAAACTTTGTTCAACCCACACATGTGGAAGACTAGAGGGATAAATTTCAAATAATATATCCTCTCTTATCCATTAAAGCCCATCCCACAAGTTCAGAATTGTTTTTCTTATTTGTGTACAAAGAAAATACAACTAGCTAAAGGTCAGAGACACAAAGGCTCATGTACAACTGGCTGGTACTGTTAATAAAACAAAACATAGATCCTCGTATTTTTTTACATGATATTCTCTCATATAATAGGCCACTTCTAGTTCCAGGGACTACAGATGTGTTCTTGTGAGTAGTTAGCAGTTTTGTTATTGTCCTATGTAAAAATAATGAAGATCCATGAGGATCTGCAACTTGGATTGATGTTTTTCTGGTGCTGACAAGCACTGCATCTTTAATTTTAACTGAGCAGTCTACCAATGTGAAACTCAATTTGATTATGGTTTTAGGAGACTCTATTTAAACCATTCAAATTCAAGAAGATCCATTTTAATTCTACTGGATTTGGAGGAGAGAGACCTGAAGAGGAAGAGAGAGGCTGTATACACACCACACATTTAAAGCACATGAGTTTCCCCAAAGAACCCAGGATACCGTAGTTTGGTTACAATTCCAAGCACCCTTAACAAACCAGTTTCCATGATTCTTTGGGGGAAGCCATGTGCTTTAAATGTGTGGTGTGTGTGCAGATGGGGGAAAGCTATGTAATCTCGCAGTGTTGTAAAGCCCACCCTCAACTGGGTCTGGCCTTGTCCACTACACCTAAAGGGAATATGACCCTCAACAACTCTGTATTAGGGCTTTCTCTGCTGCTGCAGTGTGTCTGCAAAATTCCCTCCCCAGGGATGCCTGCCTGCCCACCTTGTTGCTTGAGCATCAGTGAGCTGTGGAGCAGTTTAAATTGCCAGTTGTGTTTCAGATAGTGTTGCTAGTTGTTGTTTTTCAAGAGAGAGTGGGTGCTTTTATTGTATATATCATGCATTCTAGAATTGTGAGCTACTTTGAAGGGGCAGACATCAGGGCTGAGAAAAGTGGGCTATATATGGCACTTGACTATCTACACCTGCCAAGACAAAGTGAGAATTTCTTCCCAAACTGCTGCCAAGCCACACTGTGGAGCTTAGCGTCCCTCCATCGATCCATAGCTCACAAAGTCAAATGAAGTCTGGCCTCAATTGAGTTGTGCTGCCCTCTGAGCAGAATCAAATCTCTCACCTGTCTTTGAGTGTCATTCGTCTCTATAGAAATGGGGCAGTGACCGTGAGCCCCTTCAAAAGCACATTCCTCTCCCTTCCCTTTGAATGGTCCTTATGGCCCAGGATGCACCTCTCATCTTAAAAAGGAAAAGCCCAAGAAAGGGCCTCCCAAGTATTTAGGGGAGGTGGAACAGAAGAGAGCAGGAATTCACAGTTTCTTCTCTTCTTCTGTCTTAGTGAGAGAAACCGAGATGGAACATCCTGCTTTGACAGCTGCTGTGATGATAATTAGTTAATGTGTCTTAAGTGCTTTGAAGTTCTAAATTGTCATGTGAGTAATTCTTTACTTTATTAGTTCAGCAAAGAGGCATGGAGGAGCGAATACTATTTACAAACATACACGAGGTTTTTTCCTCCTCTGTAGAAATCGGGGAGGGAGGCCATGAAATGGGAGGTAACTTTTGTGGGTTGGGGGAAAACAACCCTGGCTTGAAAGTGTGGCCCCAATGCTGATGAAAGGGGGAGACAATGGCTTGAGAAGAAGCAGCCTAGCAGAAGCCAACTGCTCCATCAAAGTGACAACAGTCCTTCTCCTCATAGGGGAGGATGTCGTCAATATTGTCAGCTGACTAGGTGTGTTCTCTAGGCTCATTGTGAAATGGTTTGTTCCAAGCTGCTGGCTTTAACTATTAAAGGAACAAATCAAGGGGAAAGTTGTCAAAGTGTCCCAAATTTTTCATTATTTCCCAGTGCATTTTTGAAACAATACATTCTTTCCTCACGGTTATATAATATTATCTAATTATTTTGCTTATGAATCACCTATGAGGCATCCCAAAGTGATTTACAACAAAAACATACAAAACAGTTGCACGTATAAAAACTGTTATATACGGATATAAAAACAGTTAAGACAACTGTGTGTGTAAAAATAGTTTTAAAAGACCAATTATCTATCTATATATTTGTACTCATCGGTCGTCATGCAGTAGTTTGCATGGCTGCCAGCAGATGGCACTTGCCTGCAAACTACAGGTGACAATAAGAGGCGGAAGTGGTGGTGATTACGATGAACTGCTGCTGAAGAAGGAGAAGCTTTAGAGCTGCCACTGCTCAGCGGGGAGGAGGAAGGGAGAGTACCCAGGCCAACTCTTCATCCTGATCGGCCATGATGACACTAGCAGCACCAGCAGATCCCACCATCACTTCTG